TGCTTGTAACGGTTCGTCACAGTTACTTACTTACTGATCCAAGCTTGTACAATCCAGAGTCAAGCACTAAACGCAACAATAAAACCGCCGAGTGATCCATTCAGTAGTGTTCCAATTGAGTTAAATCCAAGCATAATTAAATACACGCACAGCAACAACAACCCATCTGCTCATATACAGCATTCACCTACACAAGCCAAAAACCGAAAACTTCACACAAAGTTCATTACGGTAAGTCCATCTTTCCAGGTCACAGCCCATTAGAGTACACCGAAACCAGAAATCTCGACGAGTGATCAAGTATCTCAAGGGATGGACTCAGCTACATACCTATCTCGCAAGTACACAACCATCATGGGCACCCTCTACAGATCCAGGGAATATATGTCACTATTCTAAGCTAAACAGACACATACGACCATAGATGGTAGAAAAACTCGGGATCCCGTCCGCTCTCGCACGGATAAGCTACCAATCAGAAGATTATCACATCTCTCAATCAATCAATCAATTCTGTACGGTCAGTCTGACAGGAAGCATGTAAGAACACAGGATGGAGCGCCGAGTTCCAAGACATGCGCCACATTGTGGCTGAGCAGGGCGGTCCAAAGGGGAAAGATTGGGGGCTGACAACGTTTCGGAAACCGGATTTTTGAAGCCAAAGGCAAAGGAGGATCAACCTCGCGTGTACTGTCAATGCATGACGGGTCTGACAGTCCCGTGTACGCCGCCATCGGATCCAGAGTCGGTTTTCTGGGATTTCCTCATTTGGTAGATGCCAGCAAATTGCCAGCAAATGAAGGGAAGTCTTTTCGTTCCGTCTCGATGGTCAAATTCCACAACACTGGGGTCAGTTCAGTTTAAGCGACAGCGGCTGTCAAATAGTGTCTGGCTATAGAAGGTCCATTTGTACTGTAGTGTAGAGTTGTTCAGAGTGGCCTTTCCGTTTCTTTCCAACCAGGTCACCGTACGTCTGTAATGCACGGTCCAAGCGCCCACAGCAGAACTCCCGCTCCACCGTTTGACAACACCCGAGTCCCCGCATTTCCCCAGGTTATGGAGTTGCAATACTGTACATAGCGCGGCATTCCCCCGATTCCCTAGGTGCCCCAGGTGCCCCCGGTGCCTCCGCCTTTCCTCCGCATTGTTTTCCTTATTGCCTCCAACGCCATCCATGACCGAGTCGATATCGAAACGCGGACGGCAGGCTGAGCCCGATGCTTCCCAAGAAGGGCCCGCGCCCAAGAAACAGTCAACACGCAAACGGGCCCCCTTGGCTTGCGAAGAGTGCAGGACTCGCAAGAGACGCTGTGATGGGGCTGTTCCCATTTGCGGAGGTTGTACCAAGCGTTTGTCTACTTGTGTCTACCAGGCCGAAGTCCAGGAGAAGGCATGGCACGACAAGTAGGTTGCGGATTTCCGAGTTCGACTTCATGGCGTCTAGTAGACCTCAACTAACGGACCTACCCAGTATGATTCGGTCGTGGCGCGATCGGTTGAAAGAATTGGAACGGGAAGAGCAGCTGGCAGCTGCAAATGGAGATACCTCGGGCGCTGGCACTGTTAGAGAAGTTGATATCGAGGCCGTAGGGCAGCCTGCTCCAGTCACGGCTCCGGCCAGGGCTCCGGTTAGGGCTCCGACATTGTCTGGGCCTACCCGCCACGACCATGGACAGCGGGCTCCTTCGATTGTCGATGAACCTTCATTACTTCAGCACTCAGAAACGCCTCCGGAAGGGCCTTCGTCGAGCGGCCGCCCAAGCCCTGTTGTGGTTTCGAAGAAGGGGCATTTGGAACCGGCTGGTGTCGAGCGGCTGATGCGCCCCATTGATCAAGCCCTCACCCACAATCAGACACCGGTGTACCGGTATGCAAACACTACCTCCACGGCAGCCCCTTTTTGTTCGTGCGATGCTTTGCTCGCCAGTGGCCAGTGGTCTCTCCCACTCCGGCGCCAGGCCGATGAGTTGGTACGCGTGTATTTCACTCGCGTGCACCGCATGTACCCCATTCTTCACCAGCCGACGTTTGTCAAGCAGTACCAGCGACTCTGGGCTCCAGCCCACGAGAACCCAACCGTCTGCTCGGGCATCTGTAGGCAAAAAAGTCTACACAAGGCATTCCCGGCGCTGGTGAATGCCGTCTTTGCAATGGCTTCGCTGTTTGGGCCTCACGACGCCGAGAAGAATTCGGCACGCGCCACCACTTTCTTCAATCAAACGCAGAAGCTGGATCTTCTGGACATCATTGATGAAGAAGTCGGAATCGAACTGGTCCAGTTGCTTCTGCTTATGGGCTTCTACCTGCAAAGCACTGAAAAGTTTAGCAAGTGCTGGAACATCACTGGTCTAGCAATCCGCATGGCACAGAGAACAGGGCCTGCAACTAAGCGTCCAGGATGCCAAAAACCAGAGGATTGTTGACGAGCCAACCCACACAGCTCGAGTGCGAAATGCGTCTCAGGGTCTGGTATGGCTGCGTCCTGCTAGACCGCGAGATTTCCATGTCCTTCGGGCGACCATTGATGATTACCAACGCCAGCAACGACAAACTGCAATTACCTCATGCGATTGATGACGAGTATCTCTCTGACAAACCTGGCGCCGAGAGGGGTACTCAACCGCCGGGTCAACAGAGCATGCTGGAGTCGTACATCCAGACAATCAAGCTCTACGACATTCTGGGGCAAGTCTTGGATAGGGAAGAGTGGAGGGACGGGTCGGCATTTGCTAGGGTGGCTCCCGCAGACTTGGGAAGTGTGCCGGATAACGTGGCTGCAAACACGCAGTCCATGCTTGACCTAGACACCCTGATCATGGAATGGATGGATTCACTTCCCGAGTACCTTCGCTATGAGCCTTCCCCAGAAAACGATCGCCGTCAAGACGGTGCTGGAGATCTGACTCCAGAAAACGAGATCCCCCCAACCGACTTCACCGCGCAAGCGAAGCGACTTCATGCAAGGTAAGCTCATGATGCCGATCCTGTTTGGTTTACTTTTTCTTTGCGAGAACCATTGAGATGTTGATAGGAGCATGTCTTAGATTCCATCATGTCCGCGTTCTCATACTACGTCCGGCGTTGGAGCAGCTTTTTTGCAAGCAGCGCCGTTCCCAACAGTCTCAGCAGCTTCCGAAGCCATCCAGGATAAAGGTTGCCGTTGTGCAAGACCTGATGCAGTCCGAGATTGCTGCCCAGTGCGTTCTATCGGCCGACAGTCTGGTTCGCTGCCTGGCCACTCACATTCACTCGCAGAGTCTAACGGCATGGTGGTATAACATTGGATGTAAGTCAAAATCTTGACTGTCAATATCATGACACCGCTTTTGAGGCTAACCAGCTACTTTAAACATCAAGACCTTCACACAGCTGGCAGCACACTTTTAATGGGACAACTTTGTTCCTTTGGCGGCTCTGCTGTCAGGCCTGATTCATTGTCTGCCAGCTGGAAGCTTTGTCTTGAATGCATATCACGCTACACTGGGGTTAGCAGCATCGCAAACAAGTCATACCATCTTTTGAAAGATAGTGCGAAACACTTGCTATCAGGGGACAACGTGAGTAGGCAGTATGGATCATTGACTGGGTATGCTAAAGCCCAACAGGATCAAGATTCGGACTCAACGTCACAAAACTACAGGCAGCCAACCCCGTCTCTGAGGCATTCCGTTTCCCTGGCTATGGATTGCTCCGCAGCCAGCACAGACAATCAGATGCCAATGGATGTCTTGGACCCCTCCGAGACATGCCTGGCTGCATGGGAACCCACGGGGGCGGCGGTCGGGAGCAATTTGCCCCAGAGCCTCAACAGTGACGCATGGACTGCAACCGACCCGTCAGGAAGCGCATATTGGCCATTTGTGCCATTTTTCTCTCAGCTCGAATCGTTGCCGTCGGATTTTGACCTTTCGGCTCTAGATACATGAGGCAAAGCTAAGATACAATGCGTTACTGCCCTCTCAAGCAAGAGTGATTGCTTCCAACCCAAGAGCATTCGCGACTTCATCCACACTAGCTTTTTGCAAGGCCTCATACACATCAATCTCGCTCAGAATCTCTCGACCCAGGACACCCACCAGCTCGGCTCGGCTACTGCACCCCGTCGCCTGGAGTTTCCTATCCGCAGTCCCGTTCGTGCCTGCCAAGTTGGACGCGAAGATGCCGGCCGCAGAGAAGGGCAAGAAGTCCTCGTAGGTGATGGGCTCACACTCAACGATGCCTGCTTGCAACAACGCCTCCATATCGGTTGGGAGAGGTTTCCGCCGCGATGCGACATCTTGTGATACCCGGTACCGAAAGTAGACCAGGCCTTGCTTCCGCAACTCCGTCCAGCCGTCAGGATACTCCTGAAAGGCATGAGCGAGCGACGGATCCCAGTTATCCTCGTTGGCAACAGCGGCAGCCAGCAGCCTGTCGTAAAGGTCTCGGCCCTTGCGTGTAACGGCAGCACCTCGCTGCTCGACCTCGCCGAATCGAGCCGTGTGCGTGCCACTGACGCCTGAGCCGGAGAATACGACTTGCTCCTCAAGGGCTTTGAAGCTGGTTTGGCGCAGCAAGATCTCGCACTTTCGGCCAGGGGGAGGCCCTTCAATGACCTCCTTGGCCGGCAGACCTTGGCGTATCATCTCAAGTTGGACAGCGTCAATGTCCAAGGTACGGGGTGTGAGGTGGTTGATGTGCGCGCTTGGAAAGCAGACGATGTCGGCAACCATTGGGTGTTCCTGTTTGAGACTGAGATAGGTTTCTAGGGGGACAGTCGACCGAGAATGCCATTTGAAGATCTTGAGCGCCTCGACAATCAGCTCGTCTGCGTCCTTTTGTGTCAGTGTTCCCGCATCTTGCTCGGCTTGGTCCATGAGCTCGCACAAGCGCGGCGAGAAAAGCTCCCGTCGGGACAAGATCTCGATCGCAGTCTCCCTCACTGTCGAAGAGACGATGAGATCTGGGCGCAGAACGGTGGTGAAGACTCGGAAGGGGTTTTGTCGCAGCGATTCCTCGCTCGTGGGCCGAAAGGCAGTGCCATGCAAGGGGAACCCGACCATCTCCAAGTCATAGTAGCCCACTGGGTGCATTCCCATTATAGCAAAGAGGCGGCTGATCTGGCGCATCTCATGGGTCGTTCCCAGCCGAATTGCACCATGGCGTTCGACCTGGTGGCGGATGGGGAGATCATCGACGCTCTGGCCCTTCTTCTCCAACACAGAGTTATCGACCGTACGGACAATATCGACCAGCTTTCCGTACAGTGGAACTTCTTCTCTGTACATGTCCGATAGCGCGTGGACGAAGACCGACCGGAGCTGGTCAGCATCCCATCTAGACGAGACGTCAGCACCATGACAACAAAAGCAAAGGCGAAAAAATGCTAGCTACATACGGCAACGGGTTTGAACCCTGTTTATTGGAGGTCATGGTGTCGTTCGGTAATGGATGGATACTTGACGAAGTGCTTGGCGTGGGTCCGACGTGGGAGACAGGTTTAGTGCCGTATTTTGATATGACTCTAAGTAGAGCACGAATGATTCTAGTTATGTTTCAACTTTAGGGATATGGACTGGTAATAATCCGCGTGAGATTCACCATTGACTTCCTGGCTTGCCTTTTGCCTGTGACAGCATCATCCCATAACGCTGCTGGCCCAGGTTCAATGGGTGCGGCTGGATTGAGGTACCGGTGGTACCGTTTTGGGAGAGTACCCAGACGCTCTAGCGGGCTTGATATCTGATGAGGCGGGATTGCCGCTTATTCTCCATGCCACATTATTGGTTGTTTTTGGTATCATCATGTCTGGGATACAGCATAACAAGAAGGTTGGGTAACGGGCTATGGTCTTGATTTGTGCATGTACATCTACACCCTAGGTCTAGCGACGCAAGCGGTCAAGAGCAAGCACTCAACGTATGAATGAATGAATGAATGA